ATAGGACCTACTTATTTTTTCTTTTTTTCTACCTGGATTACTGAGATGCATCAGGACATTTTGCTGTAAAGCACTTTAAATATAAAAAACAGAAAAACAATCATTTTCTAGTATCAGAGAAAATTTGGCACTTTTTTATGTGAAGCAGGTTAACTTAACCTGGCTGGTAACCTGCGGGCCTAACCCTAACCCAAATTAAATTAAGTACTGCTCGAACCCTTTGGAGTAAATTCACAAGCATAGTCTCTATGTAAAGCTATCAATCTGAAATTTTAACTTCAGCAGTCATAATTTTTTAAACTGTAACTAGTATTTAGTTATTGAAGTTAAAATACACCACAACCATTATTTTTATTATTGTTTAAATTTCCAAAGATACATATCAAATAAAGGGTAACTTGATTGGCTACACAGTTGTGGTGTCAGAATGAAGCTCAGAGCTGATTGGCCGATTCTAGCCAGTCAATCATGTGTACCACGTACAGGTGGGACATGAGGGGTTTGCCATGCTTTTTGGGCTCCGGAGAGTCTATAGATGAACCCAGTTGGTCAAAAGAGGTGTCAATCGAAAGAAGACAACCAATCAAATTGTTTGAACAGCTTATTATGCAAATTCAAAGTCTCTGGTAGGTTTAAAGAGGGAGGAAGTAACCACAAACTGGGTTAAGGGGTTAAAGGAGACATATGATATTTTTAAATCCTTCTTTTTCACATTTAAATCCTTCAGTTGGGGTCTATATAAAGTTGAACTGCAATGCTTTGGTCTGAATTCCTCCTTTTTGTAACTCCACAAGCCCCTCTTTCACCCCTTTTCTGAGATGTGTCTTTGATCAACTCGTTTTGAGGCTGTCACTTTAAATCGAAATGAGGCGCTTCACACCCCGCCCTCCTCCAGCTTCCAGACTGGTCCATTCCAGTTCGATAGAGGGTTTTATGACTTTATAGCAGCGCAAAAACATTTTTTTTTTACAAATGAATTAAAAGATGTCAACAACAGAAGACTTGTCCATCCAGTCTTACATGTTGGAGCCAGAGGAGGATGAAGACCACCAAATTACAGTTGGTAAGTCTAGACCTTATTTGGCTGTTCCTTCACAAATACTGATGTAATAGTTCAGAAAATGTCATAGAAATACAGAAAACTGAACAGAYTGAAAAGTATGACCCAAACAGGATAAAAAGATGTCTATGGAGCACCGGGAAAAACTAAATTAAACTTTTCTGTACTCCAAGGGACTCCACAACAAAATTGGATTTTGTATATGTTGGATTTTCTATGAAAATAAAATAATAATACTAAAAAAGAATCATCAGTATCATTGGAGGGAAACTTACTGAAAAGTGAAGATTAGTTTTTAGAAAATTAGGCACTTTTTATCCCCACAATTCCATCATAAAAACTACCGGAATAAAACGGGTAAATAATGAGGTGAAGATTTTGGCTATGATAAAATCTTGAAACACTTGAAGTGTTTTGTTTCCAGCTGCAGACCAACGTGTGATTTCAGAATGTGTAAAACTGAGACCAATCTTTAACTGCAACCAAAATCAGACGCAACAGGAATTAAAAGCACAAGAATTACATCAATAAATCAACGTTTAGCGGCCGCCAAAGGCTAAAAGAGAGAAAGTTTTTCTCCCCAGTTAAAAATCTAAATCCTAAATTTAATTTCACATACCTGAGGACATATGTGACAGACAGGATGCAGAGTGGCTGCCTGGCGTTGGCTCGGGACCTGGACGGCTGGACGCCGGGGATGACGGCGCTGTGACTCTCCACCCAGACGTAACCGCCGCCCCTGACCAGCATCCTGTACTGACCGCTGACGGACTGACTCTTCAAACACACTGCAGGAGCAGGAGGGGGAAACAATCATAATCTCTTCCAAGTATCTGGATAATATCTGTGTGCGTCAGCGCTCACAGTTCAGGTGGTTTTTGTTCAAACAGCTGGTGTCCAGCGTGTGACAGAGCTCRTAGATGGAGCGGCCCAGCAGCTCGTCGGGCCTGTAGCCTAAGAGTGACGTCACTCTGCACATAATACCAGAAAGGTTTGCTTTAAATAAAAGAAAAATGTTTTAATTAACATGGCCCTTGTGTGTTTTACRTACCTTTGGTCGCAGTATGTGAACCTCATGTCCATGCTGTGCTGGCTGGTGAACGTGTGTGTGCTGAGGAGTGTGTGCGAGAGCGGCAGAGGGCGGCAGGTCAGAAGCAGGCAGGAGACCGACGTTGAGGCCGTGCACACCTTYGCTCTGCCCCGACAGTGCAACACCTGAAGTCACGAAGGCAAAACCTATTAAAATAACTGTCAAGTCATTAAAAAAAATCGTTTAAAGTCTCATCATTTCTCAGTGACCTTCCACGAAGCGGTTTTAATGTTGCCGATCCTTCCTCTGTGAGTCAGAGCGCTTTTTATCCTCATGACGAAGTCCTTCTTCTGACTGCACCAAACCTCGTCTAAAGACAAACAATTCATGAACTCGCAGGGACAGGCTTGTTCAAATGTACCTTAATGTTAACACACACACACGCACGCACGCACGCACACAC